TTTTCATTAAAACCTTCAGAACTTTTTTTTTTGTTTTTTTTCATAGCTTATATATACAGTTATGGATGACAGTATTGCTCTAACATATTAATAGGTTTTGTAACTTTAGTTCAGGATACTAATGCTATTAACATCTTTTTTTTGTCAAGTCAAAATCTTCGCATCGTTTGCAGTTTCTCGAAGATCATGTAATCTGCGAAGTTCTCACGTATTGATGTTCAGTTTAAATGCCTACTTTGTTTATGCACAAACATTATTGAGCATTTACTTTAATATTTTTTGCCTTGCGGCATCTAACAGCTCATTTTGTTATTAACCATTATATAGTTCATCTGTTAATCTGACATTTTTTTTATTTACCCATTTTTTATTAGCTGTTATCATTACATATTGGGCATTATACAGTTCATCTTGCAAATATTTAGTTTTTCATATGTGACATGTTCTGCGTTCCTTATATTTTTATCTTCCGGAATAGATTTTTTCAAAAATTATTAACTCTTCTGCCTGCATTTACTTTTGAGTCAAGACTTCCCGTATTTTCGGTATTGCTGTTATGTTTTATTTCACAGTTTTTGGTGTCATATATACTAACACTATTCGCCTTTACCATATTTAAATTTAGATCTTATCTAATTGTATTAGTTGAGAAAGATACTGTGAAGTTTGAAAGGATTCTTTTTCCGTAATTTTTATTGGTAATAACTAGTATATGGAACGATTAGATTTCGTGAATTATAATTTACTATGTAATGCTTTGTTTGAATATCATTTTCATCAATTGTTTATCGCTATACGTTGTTCAAGTTGTCTCTATTGTTTGCAGTCATCATTTTTTTTTTCATATTTTTATTTTATAGTCATCGATAGAAACTTTCCTGTGCATTTTTTTATTATTAAATATATGAAATTTGAATTTGTAATTCTGAGCAACTTTACTACAAATTGCATGAATTTTGTTTGATATTATTTTGGGAATTTTTGCATAATATAAACGACATACATTTTAATTCCTGTATTCAGAACATTTGTGTTTGTGGGCATGCGTGTGCATCGTTTTACCAAACGATTATCAGTGATAATTTATGCTAATAGCTGGGTATCGTAGTTTTTGTTAATTTAAATTTAAGTTTGTGATCCATATGTCTGTGATCCATATGTTGAGGATTCCGGAAATTTCACTATGTGTATTCTACAATTTATTTTATTTTAGTTTATTTTAATAATGTTACTAAAATTGATAATTTTTTGATCCAAGTAATTATTACAGGCTACAGAATGACATTACGGATATGAAACGTTGTTTTCGTATAATTTTTCGATGTAATTTAGTGGAATTTAAGACAGCGGTTTCACTTGACGCAATCGAGTTGATGTGGTGGAGTTTTTTTAAATCTTGATAGTCTTAGTATTGCAATTTCTGTTGAAAAAAATTGACGATGAAGATGGCTATCTTTTCTCAGAGCTTGAATGGGAAAATGACTGAAAAGAAAATTTCACTGTTGCACCTTAATGATACAATGTCATCGTGAACAAAAACAAAAAAGGGGTAAGGGATTATAAATAGGCTATTTCGAAGTATCTCCTGCCATGAGGTTTTTTTGCATTTATTTTTACGAAGAAACCAGTATAGCCTTGAACATAAGAATGGGGATTAGGAAAAACAGTGTTGATTTAATAGCATTTTCACTTTGGATCATAATTGATGCCTCAATAGCCCATTTAATTTACAGCTCATGTAATGTAATACCTCACTTGTCGACTGTAAATGTCAGTAGTTTTTAGCTCCAGAATGTTCAAGAAAAAAGAAAAACAAGGATATTGAGTGAAATTCTGAAAGTGACGACTGGTAGACATTAAAGTTCGTTAATTCTTTAATTAGTACTTATAAGTGAAGTATGTGGTTCGAAGATAGTTTTTCTACCATAGTCTTAATCTCTGATACTTGAAGTTGGATTTATTGGCTGAGGTATTACTGAGACTAAATGGATAAAAAGGTTGAATTATGAAGTAAAACGGGTAAATGTATGAGATGATGATTTGGTTTGCTTGCGATGAATTTCGCAAATTATAAACTGTCATTCTTTAATGCATATATATATATATATATATATATATGTATATTTATGAATGCATATTAAGCGAAGGATCGGTCTGAATGATGCAACAAGCATTGAGCTCCTCCTAAATATGGAATGGGGTGGGACATTCGTGTGAGGTGGAGTGAGGCGCTGGTGAGTTATTTCATTGATTGTTGATCTGATTGTCCAGTGGGTATGGTGAAATGTTTATCGTTTCGGACAAGATACATGATATGTTCATCGATTTCAGACAAGGTTCTCGACATGTTCGTTAATCATACATATATATATTTCCATAAAGTATTTCGTTGACAAAAAACATCGTAATTTATTACTCTACTTTTTTTTCTTAAAATTTTTCTTTTTCTACTATTTATTTGAAATGATGAAATTAGTTTGTAAATATTTTCTCTTTTTGTTTGATTAAATTTAAGTGAGGTGGTATTATTGAGTCGAATAAATATGCATATTGTTACACTAATCGTTAACACCACGACAAACCTCAAGCGGGATACGAGTTTGTCATGGTGTGGTAGTCGATAAAAATGTGTTTTTTAAGAACGACGCCAAGCAGATATTCCATTCTTTGGTAATGATGGCCAGCTGATCCCAGCTACTGACATTGGTGAGGAGTAGCATCATAAACCACTTTCTTGGGATTGTATGGCAGGCATTATGTGGTCAGTAAATATGAGTCGATTGGTTGAATCATTCCGAACACCTTTTGATAATTTGGTTAATAATCCAAGCAAGACATTCTTTCACTAATTAAATAAGCATGGATATCGATAATCCTAGAATAATCTGTGCGTTAATCATTTTGTCTTTTCGGCGGACTGTCTTTGATAGAATTATGTTAATTGTTGATAAAGAGATGTTTGCATAGGTAATCAATCGACTCGATAGAGGATAGTTTAAACGTTGTCGTAATAATCTGTGCTCTTTGATAAATGTTTGCTATCCATACGAGGCAAAGGAGAAAAGTGAAGAGAGTGACAGAAAAGTTTTGTCACTTTCTTTTCATTTTATTCTTATTAAATATGCAGAAGATGTCATTCTCATATTTAATTAACGAAGACCATACGATGCATTAAATTGTGGAATTTACAGAAGGCTTGACGATTAAGTAAATTAAGGAAGTAATTATATTTTTGCAATAGCAAGCAAGACAGTTGGGCAGATGAACATTTTTCAGTTCATCGTTGATTTACGGTAGGTTATGTGCAGGAAAATTGAGAAACGTATTACTGATATGTTTAAAAAGATAAAAAGATAGTCTGAAAAGAAAGTTTAAGAACATATGATTCGAATAAACTACCTTAAGTTATTTGAACGCTTGTAATTTTAGAATTTTTGTGTTTTGCATTTTTTTTGCTCTGGGAAATACTGCGTAGACTTGAACACGACGTGAAGTAGTGTGAATGGATGTAGTAAAGTTAAGATAATAAATAATTACTTCAACCTTTAACTACCGCTATTTTATTTTGTTTCATATTAATTCCGAAATAATCTAAATCTATTACTATCAGTGATATTTCTTATCGTACCTAGCTATCCTTATATTCTTTTTTATAAATGATAACATACGAAAAACTAGGCATAAATGATTGTATTCACGCTAATTACAGTAAATCTTCCCGAGTAAGGCTGTTATAGTCCAGACATTCTTTCCATTTTCATGTAAAGTTCTGCAGGTGCAAGTATGAAGTAGCATGTTGATAGAGAGAAGAGTAATTAATAGATTTTTAAATTTCTTTATTAGCTTAAAGCATTTTCATGGGCTACTTTTTGAATACTTTATTGTTGTGTGTAATTTAAACGACGTTTTCTTGATTATTTTTCTTGTTATTACTCCGTGGGAATCGCTGTAAGATTCAGATATTGATTGGTAATTTTGATTTTATAATCAATTAGTAAAATTGTCACTCAAAATTTCTTAACTATTCTTTATCAATGATACCGGAAATTCTAGTTTGGCTGAAAGAAATCATTATTAAATTCATTAAGATAATAGTCATAATTGGAAGAAAAATTAGGACTGCTGTAAAATTTAGAAATTGATAGCTGTAATCGAACATACTGTAAATGCACGGAGTTATAAAGCATTGAAAAGAGTTTATTTGACAATAGCTTACAACTGGAAACGTGTAATATAAGTTAAATTGTAACATTTATCTTCGAATGATTCAAATTTTAATTCTTTGTTCTCCCGTTTTTTATTAAAAAAATCGTTTGGAAAGTTATTTCTCCAGATGAGTCAGATATTATTATTATTTCTTCTTCAATGAATGTATCGCATTACATTACGATCAGCATCGTTGCAGAAATATTTGTCCATATTATGAAGAAATTCTTGCAATGAGCTCCATTTTGGTGTTTATGTTTTAGGAATAATTACGGTAGCAGTTGTGGTAGGAAAATATATAAAAATAAGATGTAGCAATGTTGTTGTTGTTTAACTTGTTAAAATGATCATTGCTTGGCAGTTGAACCAGTTTGGAAGTGATGATATTAGTAGGCGATCGAGATACACAGGAGTTCGTGAAAGCAGCGACAATATATATCACTAGTTTGAGCTATATGGTACTTGACATAGTTGATTGATAATTCGAACTTAGACAGTTGCATCAAAGCAGTCTGTTGGTTGCAGCTCTAATGGCACATTGCTCATTTCATTCATTTTTGTTAGGATGTCTTTCGACCTTTTGATTTATGATTAATTTTAAAAAACGAAAAGGATGAGAAGAATGATGTAAGATAACGTGTAGGCGACAAACATATTTTCTTTTCTCGATTTTGTCGAGATCAGTTGTTTCGAATTTCTCTTACTGTGTGTGTACTTTTAGTTTTCAAAGTTCAAAAATCGGCAAATGAATATAGTTCTATAATTTGAGTTTCAAATAATTATACACGAAGGAGATGAGTGATTTATTCAGTAAACAACTTAAAAAACAAACTGCACGAGCGAAAGAAAAGGTTAGTTTCGTTCCGATTTCTTTTTTGTTTTGAATGGAAACATGAAATATGCTTACAAATATTCCGGATATTTGTAATTTAGAGTTTTCCATTTATTCAATAAGACAAGTAGCTGTAGAATTGAAATAAACGTAGGAATTAGATAACTGTAGCTACCCATCACTTGAATTAACTGGTTGGATGGATAATGGAAATGGTTCGGGCGCCATGCATTGTATACTTTACAACCTGTCACATTGAGCCTCTAATAACCTTTGCAGTGGCTTCGTGATATTGTTTATCTTTAAACTTTAGCACCTTAAAGCAGTCGCTCAAAGAAAGAACTAGTTCCCATTTTTCAGTTATTAGAAGGACTTGGGAAAGCAAAAGCAACACAGGATGATGTATTCGATCAACACGCTGCAAATTTAGTGAAGCAAAGTAAAGCATGTGAGAGATTACATCGTGATTTAAAAGCGTTTGGTGCAGCATTGCGAACAATGGTTCAAGCGCAGAAGACATTTCGGGAGACAGTTCGAGAACTTTACGAGATGGATTGGCCGGACCGTGAACATTTGTGTGCTATTACACAGGTAATTTTGTTATGCCTATAATACGGACACGATGTAATTATGACAAGTAAAACTATTCAAGTTCTACTCTATAATGTTTAGGTTATATATATCTTGTGGGTAAGTTTCCAAGTTTCGAGTTAATTTGAAGTATGAGTTTTAAACCAAATATTTTTGTCCACACATTGTTGTGCAGTTCCTCCACAGTTATCCACTTTGATGCTTCAATATTTGAGATTGATAACCGACTGAGTAAAGTAGAGGTACAACTTGATATATGTCGCAGGATATTTAAAACTAGCAAAGATTATATATATATATATATATATGTATGGCTCGCAGTCTGAATGAAAGCCTAACTGTCAGAAAGATTAACGGCAAATTTCATACCAATATTGTAGGATTTGTTTAGATGGCTGATCGATATTCGATATCTTGCTTACTTTCAACTAAATTATGTAAAATATACAGTGTTGATATACGTATTTATTGATTGTCGTAAGACAGCTCAGCAGAATAACTGATGGCAAAATTCAGCAAATCTCACGATGTCTTCAACTAGTTGTTATCAGTTGTTAAATAATAGTTTGTAAGTTAAAACTCTAATTTGCTATTGATGTGACCGCATCACAGTCTTTGGATCTTCAATGGGATGAATTCGAGAAAGTTGTCAATGATCGAGTGATGGGCTCGATGAATGCATACATGGCACAATTTGCAGACTTAAAAGCTAAGGTAGCGAAACGAGGAAGGAAACTCGTTGATTTTGATGGTGCGCGGAATAATTATGCAACTGTGAAAGCTGGTTCCAAAAAAGTTTGTTTTTTGCCTTGTTTATATGAATATATATATATAAAGTACATATATATATATATATATATATATGCACTCTCGTTTGTATAACTGTTGAGATTCGAGTTTTACTTTCATAGAAAATGGATGATTGGTTAGATTTGTAAGTGAATACATATAATAGATTAGATAGGTAAAGACAAATCTGTGATGATACAAAGGATAATGTAATGTGAAGTTTTTTGCTGTTACAACTTCTTGCTCTTTGGTCATTCAAAACATCATGCATCTTCTCTTTTTCATCTTTGAATAGTCTTGAACTTCTGGACTTATCCTGCTTTTACATAGTGTAGCCATCATTATTATACCCAGTCATGATATATGATTAGTATTCTACGCATAATGATCTCTTACTATAAAAATGGATTATGTACTCTTCTTATTTCCAGGGCGATGATGATCCAAAAGTGATAAAAGCACTAGCAGATCTTCAGCAAGCCGAAACCCTTTATAAAGAATTGAATAGAGAACTCGTCGATGCATTACCCGCCACATATGATAGCCGAATAACATTTTTTGTTGATACACTTCAGACAATTTTCAATGCTGAAAGTACCAATCATACCGAATGTGGTAAGGTATGTTTGTCGAAATCAAAGGCTATTTGAAAAATAAGCCGCATATTGGCATAATAAATATTCTAACTAGGAGTTATTTTATAGTTCATTCCTAATTATTATTTAGTATTTTATTATTCTCTGAGATAAGTTTTTTTTTTGTTAAATCTCTGAGAAAAGTTTTTCTTTATTATACAGTAATGATTTCTCTTAGAGTATTTTGAGATTCCAGTCTTGTCGTGAACATAAAGAGAAGGGTAAAATGGTGCTGGGATGAAATTTCCGTTGCTGGGATTAGAGCAGGAATTTTGTCTCTTAAGCAGTTATGTAATTCGATCGATTTTGTTCCATTTTGTAATTAATAGTCAGACTTACTTCATGTATTCTTCAAACTAAGCGTTAATTTTCATTACAGAATAACAAAACTCTTGTTACTCTACTGGATAATTTGGGAAACTCATTCGATTCTCTTCGTGTTCCGCGAAATGCATCGGATCATTGGGTAGCACCCATTCAAACCGACGGACAGTCGATTGAATCGACTGGAACTGAAGATCAAATGCAAAAATCCGAGGTGCCAATAAAAGAACCTCAGCCAACATCTCCACATGTCTCCTCCGAGGCATTTCTGAACAGATCCGACGCTGAGTACGATGATGAAAATATAGAAAAAAAAGTGTATCCGGTAAATTCAAACCTATCAATTTGATATTCTATTAACCAGTTTGTAATCACTGTTATTAATTGCGTTAAACGGAAACTAGCTCTCTTTATCTTTCATTACGCTATGCTCTGTTTAATACCAGGCGTTGAAAAGTTTCTATTCTATTCTTAACAGCAGTGAAACATGTGAGAGATTACCTTTTTTTATCTTTAATGAACACATTAGAGGGGTGTTTGATTCATAATATGAAATAAGATATATAAGAAATTTTCCCCTACTTATAATTAAGCATAACTATGAGAGGGAACTCTCCTTACATTGGAGGTGTTTTACTATTGTTCTAATTTTTTTTCAGGTTCCTACTATTGAACGTTTTTTTACTAACATCCATGAAATTTAATCTCAACTTAAGTCCTTCACTCTCTATAAATGGTATTTTTGTAGAGTTTGACTGGCGCACCACCCGCCGCAGCTGTTTTTTCCGATACTGAGGAGCGAAATGACAAAAATGAGAAATTATCAGCTACTGGTGATGGTCTTGGTGAAAAAGGTTCGAAAGCCTCGCTAAATCCATTTGATGATGATGATGATACAAAAAATCCGTTCAGTGAAACTAACGGGAAGAAACCACATCCAGAGCCACGTTCACCACAGAAAAGTGGCACTTGTCAAGAATCGGGTTCTGATCGAAAGGTTTTTTTCTTTATTACAATAACAAGATCGTCGCTAAGTTGGAGTTTACATGAAAATCGAAGGATTATCTTATTACACAAGATTGAAACATGATATGAGAGGGCGAATTATGATCGCAGTATTAAATTGGATCTGGTTACTAACATAATCATGATTTTGCAAAGCTGAAGAATTATGGTTGCCAAGTAAAATCAGACCCGGCATGAGTGGAAATTTTACGCGAAGAAACACTGATTTATGGAAGGATTCCAGTTGGAGAGAGGGAATGCGTAACTTTACTAGATTCATATTTGTATTAGTGAAGATATTACTCTTGTGGTTTATCTTATCACTTTATTTTATGCTGATTTTTGTGTCATTACTATTGCACATTTCTTCAAATATTTCAGATTTTGTACAAAGTTCGGGCAACACATCGTTATACGGCAGAAGACACCGATGAACTTACGTTTGACGCGGGTGAGGTAATAACAGTGCTAGAAGCCCGTGAAGAGGATCTTCTAGATGAAGGGTGGTTGTTTGGTGTAAAACAGTCTGATGGAGTTCATGGTGTATTTCCTGCAAATTTCACGAAATCTTTATGAAATATTTTAATTTTGTAGATCTCGGATGCGTGAACTGTTTGGAAAGTTAATGACCACTCCCTTATTCAAAATTCCAAAATTCACCAAAATTATAATTATGCTACTACTTGCATTATAGGGATCGAAAATTTTACTGTTATTCCATTCTTTTTTTATTTATATATGATACTAGGGAGTTTGAATCGCAATGGATAATGGTGAGAAATCAAGAATGATAGTGAGGCAATACTGTCAAATAGAAATAGATTATTGAAAAGTTGATGGTTTATCTGTTCCGTGTATCCGAAGTTTTGTGATATTGCAATTAATCGCTATTAAAGCAGTTGTTCGTTTGAATCTGAATAGTGTCTATCACTTAGCTGCATAAAGCGCTTCATTTCTACATAAGGCAAACATATTATTTGTGCTTCCCACTCTTAATTTCTATTTACAGTCTTCGAGTGTCTGCCTATTTCCATTTTATGCATTTTTCTTCAGATTCAGCATATTTGATTAATTTTGAATATCATATAATCATTTGAAATTAATTTTTCATCGAGAATTTTTAGAAGTTTTAAATTTCATTTTTATAATTTCATATCAGTTGTTATAACATAACATTTCATACATTGCATTTTTTTCCATTTTCAATCCTTCTTTTAAACGTGTACGAGGTTGTGATAGATCTTAATCATTTAATCACTCTATTGTTAGTGTAGTGTGCCTTTATTTCTGTCATTTTTATTCCTACTGAAAAGATCCAAAACTTTTGCTATAAAGATTATGCTTCAAAATGCTTTTTGACAGCGGAAATGGATCTTCGGACATTGTAAACATATAATTTTGCTGCAAAATATGATTGCACAACGGCAGTGGGATAGTATTAAAGGAAGTTGTGAATTATGATACCAGAGAATATGCTGCATTACAGGTTTATGATTTAGTGCATCATTATTTCTTAGTATGCAGGCTCTCATAAAGGTGATGAAAAGTACCACACCTATTGACCTCGTGTTTTTCTTGATCAATTTAGCAAGAGAATGACTCTTTCATAAGTAATTTTCTATACTAGTGACAAATGATAAACTATGAGAGCACAGTGATACATGTAGTGTTCAGCTTGGTTTTTTTGCCACTTTAAATAGTATAGTGAAAAACATTTCTAATATAATTAATACAAATGATTAATAACAAACAACAACAAAATCACATTTATTATCATTATTATAGTAATACATAAATTGTTAAAATGATAATATTAGAATATGACAGATTGTTTTAAATGAGAATTCCATTGATGTTATTTATTCGACAATTAATTAAATTGACATTTTTGCATCATTAAAAAATACGATGAAATTTTTTGAAAGTATTAGCGAAAAAAATTGAAGAGAAAAATCTTAATTTTTTAATCAAAATTTTTTATTCAATACTTTTTCAGTTATTATTATTATTATTATTATTCACATAATTATCACATAATTATTTTTTATTTTTTTCCAAATTTATTTCATACCTAAAATAACTTATATTTTACTCCTTATGTTCCCTTATAGTAGTAATTCATCTCTATCATTAATTCACATCCCTTATAGTAATTCATCTAGTTTATTTTCTCGAATAAATTTTAGATAGATAAAATGTAAATGTTATTTCATTGAAAATATTATTTTTCATTGTTATCATAAATTTTGAAATAAATCATTAAGAATTGAAAAGAAATGGTCATTTTACTGAAATATATACATATGTATTCATTGAGAATTAACTGAAATGATATTCTAAAAATTGAGAATTGAAAAGAAATGAAATTGAGAATTGAAAAGAAATGGAACTGAGAATTGAAAAGAAATGATATTTTAAAATTATATCCATGTCCATTTACTAAATTTATTAACTAAAAAAGAAATGATATTCTAAAAATGTATTACGCTGATTTACTATAATATATATGTATTCATTGTGAATTGAAAGGAAATGATAATTTAAAAATTGAGAACTGAAAAGAAATGATATTTCAAAATTATATCTATGTCCATTTATTAAATCTTACATATATATGTCGATTTATTTGATTAATCAATTGAACATAAATTGATGAGAAAAGATTGTAAAAATTGCCGATGGCATTTGTTCAAATGACTGGAACCGAGTGATCAGTTTGAAAGTGATAAATGAATAATATTATATGACAGCAAATATCCACTGACCATTCTCATTCCATTCTTCATTCATCTAATTTAATCCGGTTCATTTATATTATAATGTTCCCTTTTTATCCTCTTTTTTTTCTCTTCTTCTTCTTCTCTCTCTTTTCTTCGTTTCTTTTTCCTAAGGTATAAAAGTCTTCGTTAATAGCTTTAGGCGATTTATTTTTATGGTGAATCTAACAACAACAACAACAGCAGCAACAATACTATCAGAAGCAGGCAGTACTATCATTATCATTCATTATCACTTGTCAATAATTGACTTAACCTTATAATGGAAGGTAAAAAGAATCAATCACAAAGTTTAAAACCGATTGCTTTTATATCGGTTGTTTTTAGTACCTTTGCTATATGTTCAATTTTGGTAATATTTCCATTAATTATCAATTATATTCAAACATTGGAATCATTGGTTCAAATAGATCTCGATTTTTGTCGCGTATGTTTTCATTTATTATTTATTGTTCTTTTATTTTAAAATCATAATTAATTGAAATTCTTTACTTTCGATTGATTGTAGCGATAGTTAAGATATTAAATGATATTTTAGATATTAAAATGTTAAGATATTAAAAGTTAAGATATTAAGATATTAAATAATACTAAAATAATTAATTATAAAAGAAAACAAGAAATGAAAGAATTTTTTAAATTTCCTAAAAAGGTCAGCCATTAGAAAGTTTAATCTTTTTTTTAGGACAGAAAGATATTTTAGAGAAAGAAATTTGATCGTTCGTCCTGAAAAAAAGATTAAACTTTCTAATGGATCAATGAACTTTCTGATATGGCATTTCTCTTTATTTACACATTTCTTAAGTTATAGGCTCGAGCTCGAGATATGTGGAAGGAAATTTTGGATATTGAAACTAATGGACGTTATGATTCTGGAAAATTGGCAGGTATAGTGATGGCGCATCGAGAGGTGAAACGTGATACGTTGGCGGATTTTTGGAAACGAAGATTACATGATCAAGAGCTTCGTGACGAACCATATCAAAAATCGGAATCGTTTAGGGAAAGCTATGCAAGTGGAGATTGTTGTACATGCTCACAAGGACCACCTGGACCACCGGGAGCACGAGGTCGCGATGGTGTACCTGGAATAGACGGTGAAATTGGCCAAATTGGACCACCTGGGCCACCTGCACCTTACGAAGCGGACATTCATAGTCTATTTCCGCCACAGTGCCCATGCGATTCACCACCCGGTGAACCTGGTCTCAAGGGACCACCCGGACCTGATGGTCCACCAGGACCATCTGGTCAAGATGGCGAAGATGGAAGACCCGGAGATCAAGGACCTAGAGGTCCACCGGGGCAACCAGGTCAACCAGGGCAACCTGGAAGAAGTGGTTCACCCGGAGAACCAGGAGCATATAGAACGGAAGTTGGACCACCGGGTCGGCCAGGTGCCCCGGGACGTCCTGGACCACCAGGATTAGTAGGACCACCAGGTGCAAACGGTGATGATGGTCCGGTCGGCGCAGTAGGTCCACCTGGTCTTCCTGGACAACCAGGACAACCAGGTCCAAGTGGGCGACCGGGAGTTCCTGGATCACCTGGAGAACCTGGTACGTTTTTTAATTACCAAGCATTAATATTGAAACAAAAGCATCAATTCTAATACTTCTGATTCATTCTTGCACAGATTTTAGTTTTAAAACTCCTATCTTGAAATATTTGTATTCAATAAATTTTGTTCATCTGTAAATATTCATTTATTCTAGGTGCACCTGGAAGTTGTGAGCACTGTCCACCAGCTCGTCTTGCTCCTGGCTATTAAATGAATGCAAACAGCGGTATTCATATTAAATTAAATTTCCATTGAAATTTTATTGAAAAGTCAAAAATAAAGCATATTTGATTATGTTATCATCGTGATATCTTCCAAGAAAAATGGCTGACCGTTACAAAGTTTCGCGGGAATTTTTCTTGCATTCTTTTGTTCTAGCAATTTATTAATTTAGAAATGTCTGCTACAAAATAATAATAATATTATAGCGTTGTACTTTTCCTGACTGACTGATCATATTAATGACTTATAGCGTAAATAACTTATAGCAAAATTCAGATCATATTAATGAATGCCGTAAATGGCTTATAACAAAAATTCAGATCATATTAATGAATGCCGTAAATGGCTTATAACAAAAATTCAGATCATATTAATGAATGCCGTAAATGGCCTATAACAAAAATTCAGATCATATTAATGAATGCCGTAAATTACTTAATTAGGATTTTCCTCAGATATAAAAAATCTGTCTACAGGAAATGAAGAGATAATGAATAATGAATAACTATAATATTTCGATGATCATAGGGAAAAGAAGAGAGAAAGAGAAAGAGAAAGAGAAAGAAGAAAAAGATTATTCTCTTTATTCAATTTTTTGTCAAAGAATAAAAATATTTTTTGACAAATAACACCAATTTCCATTTCATTAAATTCTCATAAATCTTTCGTAGGAATAAGAATAAGAGGAAATTCGATGAATGATTTTTGAAATTAAAGAAAAAAATTATTTTTTTAAAAATTCGAAAAAATTAAAAACTTCGTATCCGATCAATAAAATGCTCCCATTTTCCATTTCTTCACTTAAAACCAAGACGAAATTGTTTTGTGATGTAAATTTCTTCCGCTATTCAACGTACTTTTAGCCTTATCACGATTAATAGATGAAACGAACAATGAATTATTGATTGTGCAAAAAATTTTATTGCAAATTTTGCTTTTCATAATATTTTGATCAAAAAAATTCGATCATTTATCATATCAAAAATTAGTCATTAATTTTAATTGTTTAATGCGGATCGATATCTGTTATCATTTGTTGCTAAATTTGATGTTACATTTTCAACACTGCATGCATCACAATTTATAAATAATTTTAATTGAAAATTTATGAAATTAAAAAACTTTCAATTGTGATAATTTAATCTAAAATTTTGAATTAAAAAGTTCAAATTTCATCTTGTGGAATGTCAAAAAAGAACGTACAACAATGCAGTAATTGAAAAATGTCATTTGGAACTATCGAAACTATTAGCTAAATAATCGTATATCAAAGAAATATTATTTGCTTACTTGATGAGAGAAACTTGAATTAAATTCGTACAAGATATGAGCTAAGCTTGAAAGGCAGTTTCTTGTTGAAGATTTATAAACTTTCAAATATTCAATTTTTGTTTATTTATTTCTCAAAACAAATAATTTAGTAAGGATGGACAGATTTCATCTAAAATGATATTTTATTGTAGGAGAAGATATTCGTCAACTTCAGCAAGATTTGATATCAGATTTGATCATTTTGATTGGTGATGAACCTGAAACATTGACTTTTAATTCCAAGCATTAAGTAAGAAATAATTCAAAATTAGCTATTAGTTTAGCTTAAAATGAAATTAGCTTAAAATTCTTATGTACCGCATGGGTAATTAATTGAAAAAGAAGCTTTACATTAATCTACATGAATCTTCCATAGATCAGCGAGAGTAAATCCTGGTTTGAGTTCTTCGATGGCTACTCCAAGCTCTTCTGAGTAAACTGGTGGCCGAACTTGTCCACTAACAACACCATCTGAGAAATAAGCCTGCAAATGATGTGATTTTATGTTCGTTTGCACAAATTAAGGCTTTATAACACTTTACATGAGAAAAATATTTTATCGGTTTCATCGATGAAAACGAATTGAATGAAATTAAAATCGTACAGCATATGCATCGGATCGAAGTGGTCGATCATCAAGCTCAATATCTTCATCCACCAACTTCATTACATCTCCTATTGCCTGAGGAGTACCCTGAAAATTTTCTACAAATCTGAAAGATAATCTTGGCTTTGTTTCGTTGCCCACTATCGAATATACGAATATGAAATTTGATATATGTCTAAATAGAATTTGAATTAGCCAATTAGAAACATAAACAAATAATCATGCCGGTCTTTCTCGAACATATTGTACACCGAAAATAGGTTTTGTCATATAAGTTTTCTGAAGTGCACATATCGTTTTGCAAATATTTTTGAGTCGTTCTTCCGGATCAGTACGAAAACCAAGAACGTATTCCTTATTCTGCAAAAAAGAAAATTCAGGATAGCTCGTCTGGAAAGCAATATGTAAATTGTTTTGCCCATTTTGATAATTTTGATGAAAATACTCCTCTGGGAAACACTAAAAGAAATATCACCATTCAAATTAGCAATAAGGTGTAGATTAGAGCGAAACTGAAATTTGATATTATTGGGATTTTAAATTCCAATAATATCAAATGCAAACAATTTTTATAAACAGTTTTGAAAATGGACAACTTTTTTTAACTTACGACGGCAGAAATTCCAATGACTAAAATAAGACCGAAACGTGAATTACGTATACGGCAATGCTGTACTTGCAAATATGGTATACTCACATTATACATTATATTTGTTATTGCAAACCATGCAATACGAATATTAGTAAGTATCATAACACCAAGTGTTCCCTAAAATTTTCCTTTTTAAAATGGTATTATCGAAATTTCAAGCCAAGATAAACTGCTTAATAAATTATTTTGGAAACTAATAAATTTTTTGAACTTACACAATAAGAAACAAACTTCAGAAAACAATCTATGTTTGGGTAAATTGTTTTCTGAAGTTTACTTTCTTATGAATACAAACTTATGATTCGTATAATCTCCAAAGACGAATCATATGTTTCTATTTATTTCCTTCTAGGAATTATGATGGTTGAAGCAAATTATATCAGTAATAAATTAGAAGAATACGAGCAATCTTGTTACCATAGTAAAACAAAATGATTTACAATGAATACTTACTTGATCATTGCCTAAGTTCCACACGCCATCAAAACGATCACATTGTTGTTCTTCAGGTAAGATTCGAAGATGCTGTTCATCATTTACTAGAGCACCACGCATTTTCAACTCTCGATAAAGTTTCGATGTTTCATAAGCTCGATGAATAGTTATCACTGTCGTAAAAAGCTTTGTCTAAGAAATGAATGATGTTTGTTGGCGTTCGTTTTAAGAATCAAAACGAAAACAGGAAGGGCCAATAGTTAAAAATAACGAGAAGTTATTATTTTCATCCTAATGATTCCAAATCTTTTGAAAAATGCGATCATGCTTAATTCGGAAAAAACCTGGGATGGATTGATGCATGTGAAGATGAATTCAAATCGACCATTTATATGACGAGCTAACAAATAAAGTGATTCACTCTGTCCACGAATCCTTGATTTTGCAATTCTTGTAGTCACTCCAGTTACCGTATTGTATCTGAAAAGATGAATTGGCAATATTAATTATACAATATATAAAGATGTACCGATCTGCGGCATACTACCATGCTTAATTATCTCATGTGGCAGGAGAAAACTGATATTCCCTAGTTGCTTTCTTAATTTTAATAAAAACTAGCCCATTAATTTTCTTAAGAGAGGAAAATCGGTGAATTGGTGGTTAATAATGAACACCTCAGGATTTGAGAATCATCAAAATACCCGAGGCTTAGATTGATGCGTGGTATAGCAGTTATATGCCACGTAAGTCTTAAATTTGTTATCCGGAGGATACCCTTATCTCCAGAATTTCCTTTGGTATCCTCGACACCATCAATACGATCCACGAGATATTCACCGGAAATCAAACGTAGCAATCTGCAATATTTGTAAGTTATGTGGCAAAGCAATAAAATATTGATTCTATCAATTCGTCATCATTACCATCAAATGATTCTTGCTTAATGAGAATAAACCAAGACTAAGATAATGAAATAATCATTAACTAAGCAAATAATATACCGTGGATTCACATCGAATCGTATATCACGGTCTTGCCAAATGGTAGTCGATGGCATTTGAATTCTGCAATAGAAGAATACATCTCGTGGAATATTTAGACTGGTTATTTTTACGGATTTAATCATGTAACGAATAGTTTTCATTAAATTTTAATAGAGCGCAACGATCACATGATTCGTTGTTATCGATGATATATTCTTCTTTCGTCGCAGTCTAAGGTTATCTAGGCTCTTGATATTCTCAGAACTTATATGGTTAATCTTCATCAACAAATTATTAACAATTATTGTCAGTTCAGTGCAAGCTTTAGATGTATCATTTCGCTTGACAGTAATAAGCATAACTTCTCTAAAAATGTTAAATGACAATAAGTGGACATTTTAAGTGGACTAATTATCAATTACTAATTATCAATAACTTGTTTGCTAAAGATATGAAAGGTAGTAATATTTAAAATGTAGAGAGCATGAATGCTTCACCATGACAACGAAAGAAGCATAACCGTCAGTTGCAACCCTACAAGAAAAACGTAGTTGATTTGGTGAGCTAATTCTCCAATAAAGATGAATGTCTTACTGGAACTTTTTTAAAATATCTTACTGCAAATTAAAGGATTGCTATTTTTAGTTCGATCGAGAAAGCTAACTGAACACAACTAAATTATAATTTATTATCATTACCTAATATTTGAAATGAATAGTTGAAATTATTGATATATATATATTATTGGTAAAATAATGGTAAAATATTACTCAAAATTATCAAACATTTGAAATAAGCTTTTTCAGTGCTAATTTCAGTGATTAAGCCATATAAAAGGACTAGTAGAAGGAAATATGCGATTGATTTTACAACAGTGATATTCTAATTCATAGTTGATTTAGAAGTTTCGATAAAATTGATTACACGTATGTGGGCGTTGTTTAATTTCATTTTTCAAGCATACAGAACATAATTTGCCAGATCACAATTAAACATCATTTTGAGCTAGAACAGGTCTCATTAAATTTAGTAGGAAATTTATGCTAACATTCTTTGATGAACGAATAAATCAAAAATCATAACTTTAAATTTTACAGGAAAAGAGCAACCAAGATTTTAATCAATCAAATATTTGATTTTAACTATTAGCTGCTTTTTATATCATCCAAAAATCAATTGATCTTTATTGTTATCACCGTTGTGTCAATCTTTTTTAGAGTAATAGATTTTGCTTATTGGAACAAAATTTCTAAAGTTTTAATTGTATAATTAAAACTTATTGATCCACGGATTATTATTCATTGCTTATTGTTCACTTCTAAATAGAATCACTCACATTATCGTTGCACACGTAAGAAATAATGAAGAAAGAATTGAACAAATTTCACCTAAATACATTCATATTAAAAATACAGTACGAAATATTAAAATGAAATAAATTTTGATTTACAAAAAAAATTGTAAATCCATTTTACGTAGGCGTTGATTGTAAAAATTCTTACGTGCAATTGAGCAAATTACTCACTTCTATATCGAAAAAATTACAGTCGTCAAACTATACAACTGTTGTCCGAAGTGAATCAATGAGGTAGATAAATTTTTCGGCTTCAGAAGTTTTCAGAAATTTCTCTGACCTGACATGTTAGAGACTTTGCGAATCATTATGCAACGAAGCAATTTATCCCTATTGTTTCTCTTCTCGACAACGATCTTCTTATTTTATCTTCTCAAAGATGGTATCTCTTTTAACTTTTCGAAAATGAACGTTTTCTTATCGAACATTTTTGAAATCTCTGATTTGTTTTCAAATATGCACTTTGATGATTTAGAGTAAGCTCTTTCGTCTTTTCATATATACAATAATATCACGATAGGCGCATTCGACGAGATTAGGGTGCTCACGGATTACATGCTATTTTGGATACGATAGAGTTAAGACAATGAATAGGAGAGTAGCTGTGGGGGCAAACAAATATGAAGAGGGATAAAGAGACCCGAACATTATGAAAAGTTACTGGTATTAATTTCTTCTATCTGTCTTGTTATATTTATACACCTTCGAAGATTATGATGGAAAATGAAACGGGAGAGGATGAGAGATGAATATACTGGTTACCGTAGTGAGATGTTAATAATATTCTTCCTCTCCACTAATGTTATTCATTGCTTGTGTTGGTTGAGTCACTTCTAGCTGTATTATAATGAAAGTTAAAATAAGCTTTGATATTAAAAATAGTGTATGAGAAATAATAGCATGACAAGTATATAGCCATAAGGCGAATACCGAAGGATTAGGGCAGTTTTATTCCTCTCATCGACAACTGGAAATGGAGCAGTGCCTACAACAAGAAGATAAGCTAAGGAGGAAGGTCACCTGTAGGTTTGATGATCTCCCAATCGACAACGAAATGGAGAAAGAAGGAGCTGGAAACTTGGCGATAGAAAAGGGTCACTTTTTTGCGAACTGCAGGTTCGAGCTTTAAAATTATCTCATATCCAACTATTTGTTGATACATATTTCCATTGATTGCATTTTAGATTTGAAATTCTACAGTTACAGTTTCTTCCGTATTACGGACATTTCTTTTATCTCTTTTCGTTTATTTTAGGCGGTCAAGATAGCATTTACGTATACGGCGACAGTACAGTGATGATGCCATGGATCTTCAACATATCGCTGGTCGAATTTTGAAATAGTTAAAAAGCTCCATTTGACGATTGATACATGGTTATGAGGGATACCGTGGGATCCGTTTCAGTCTGTATGTATTTCTTTTCTAAACAATAAGAGAAATAGTATATAATTAGCAATATATAAAAATGAAGATATATGGCTAGATATTGACCCTCTTGAATGGAATAATAGTAGAGCAAAAGAAGCATTATGCTTATATTCATATTTCAGATACGCATTTAACTCATTTCGTTTTATTAAATCAATCGATGGCTTCAAACTAACCGCATTTGTTTACTTAATTATTTATACAATCTAATTTTAAAATTAAGTAATAAATAAATAGCATAGCATAACATACCTGAAGGATATTGTTATGTTCAAGCCGATAAAAAGAAACTTTATAAAACTAAGTTTTAATATTAATTTTTTAATTAATATAAACGAACAACAAGAAGAATGCAAAAAATATTAATACAAATTCCTTCATTTTCTTAAATTTAATAAAATAAACCAAAATACTAAATTAAATAGTAATTTGGTTTATTTTATTTTAACAAATAAATATGTAATCATTCTAAAAATGATTTTTCTATTTTAATATTTTCTATTTTTAGAAATCTGTTAAAATTATGCAACAGCTTTCCAACCGTTGAAATTATGCAACAGCTTTCCATCCATTAAAATTATGCAACAGCTTTCCATCCATTAAAATTATGCAACAGCTTTTCATCCATTAAAATCATGCAACAGCTAAATAGCAATGTCAATTTTTTGTTCCTCTAATTAAATGAATTAATAATTCATTGTTAGAACATTTTTGAAATTACATTTTCACTAAACGTTAATGGAAATTAAACAATAAATAATCCATTGAGGAATACAGGGAAAAAAATTTCCAAAAATCTCGAGAGTTCTGGAAATTTTGAAAAAATTGAAAGATTTAATGTATCGAAGAAGTTTAAGGAATATAATCATCATTTTGTTGAAATAAATAATTTGACTTAATTAATTGTAATGAAAGATACTAATTGAATGCTTCAAATCATTTCATATTGTTATATTAGAACAATTAACGAATGGATACGACGGATACGGCAAAAATTTTCGTGATCGATAAAATTATAGCTTTCCGGAAATTATATTGCTAATATATTTTAAGCTTTTGAAAATTATCACAATCTCTTTTGGAGAATAAAGTGCGTTAGAAGTAGTATAAATGATAATTAAAATTTAATTTGTATTTTCTTTACCTACATAATTAGAAACGGAATTAATAGAAAGATGCTAACAATAATAGTTTGAAAGGAACAGAAAAGAAGGAATCAAATTAGAGAAGTGAAAAAAAAAAACAAACAAACTGATAATTTTATTTAATCACCATAAAATGGATATTTCGGAGCAAATTTAGTATCACCATATTGTATGTGTTCTTGATCTTCTGATATATCCACATCACCAAAAAAGGATCGTCTGTAATTGTTTTGCTAAATTAATATTTTTTAATAAAATTAAAATTATTCACATTATCAATTAATCCTATGAATCCAGTGATAATTTTAGAAGAATAATCAAAATCTTATAATAAAATTTAGAATGGATTATAAATTATAATTAGAATGGTTATTCTTAATTAAGTAATGTTATTAAAAATTAGAATGGATCATAATTAATTTAGTGATATTGTGAATATGTTATTAATAAAAAAATTAAAATTATTCAAATTATCAATTGATGCTCAATGAACAGTGATAATTTCAGAAGAATAATCAAAATCTTATAATAAAATTTAGAATGGATTATAATTAATTAAATAATGATATTGTGAATATGTTAATATTAATATTCGAAAAAGATAATATTCGACGATAATTTTCAGAAGAAACTTTTATTTCTTTATAATTTACCATTGCAATATGTTAATTTAATAATTCTAAAACAATAGAAAGGTACCGAATTTTAATAAAATATTCAAAATTCTTTAATCATTATCATAGCTATATGATTTGAAAAAAGATAAAGAAAATGAACACTGAAAAAATAATTTTCTTTTTTAAACTTAATTTAACTTTTTCAATTTATCAAAAATAAAACTATATTTAAGTTTTCCTTTTTGTAAACTATAAAATAAAGTAATATAAGCGAATAATAAAAGATTCAGCAATTATTTATTTTACCTGTGATGTGGATTTGAATTTACCTGTAATATGGATTCGGTAGTTTTGGATAAAGTTCACTCAAAATAGAACTTGGTATACGTACACGTTTTTTGGATAATAATATCAAATCCGTATTTTGGCTTAATTCATCAGTTTCACTTGTATTATCTAATGTTTGACCATTTTCAGCTGTTATTGTCACCTGATAAGAAAAAAAATTTCTTTTTAAATTTTGAGATTATTTCTTTTAAATTTTTCACATTAAATAATAGCAAGAAATATATAAGTCTAAAAAGCAATGATAAGAAGAATGCTAATCAAATTAATGATAAGAAAAATTAAGTTTCAAAATTAGACTACTAATACAATATGATCATTATCAAAGAAAAAGATTATGCTGATAATTTCTTTTTGGTAATACTACAATCTTATTCAAACATATAATACAAAAATTAATATGACTAATTTATTATTAATGAAATTAATAAATTTTCAATTAACGATTTCCCAAATAATTAGAAACTTACCTAAAATCAGAAATAATTAAAAGCAATAAATATATAAATGATAAGACCACTAATAGAATACGATCATTATTCAAAGAATAAGATTATGCTTATAATTTCTTTTTGGAAATACTACAACTCTAATTATAACATAACTCATTTATTATTAATGAAATTAATGAAACTTCCAATTAACAAAATTTCCAAGTAATTAAAAATTTGTCTAAAAATCAAAGATAATTAAAATCATTAAATATATAAATGATAATAGAACTAATACAATACGATCATTATCAAAGAAAAAGATTATGCTGATAATTTTCTTTTTTGGAAATACTACAACTCTTTTTCAATCAATATAATATAAAAATTATAACATGACTCATTTATTATAAAATTAATTAAAATTAATAAAAATAATGAGTTTCAAAGTAATTAAAAATTTATCTAAAATCAAAAATAATTAAAATCAATAAATATATAAATGATAAATGAAGAATGTAACCTGTATTTTTGGTACTGTTGGCATTATTGATTCATTCATTGTAATATCACCATTTATTCTATTATTATCATTATCATCATTTTTTTCTTTATCATTCAAATTTCGTTGCGATAAATTTGTTAAAGAAGGTATTGTACCTATTTGTATTGGTATTACGGTTGTTATATTGCTATCAACCTAAAATTTAATCAATAAAATTTTAAATTTTAAAAGTCTTCAAAAGAAAACGTGCTTTAAATAAGATTTTCATGCGCTTAATTTAGCAGCTTAATTTTTGTAATTTAACAATTTAATTAATTTTAATTAATTCAGAAAGCTTAATTGGATCGTTTAATTTAATCTCAAAAAAGAGGAAATATATGATAGATTAAAATTGTCTATGAAAATAATAATTTTTTACGTTGTATTTTTTCGCTTTATTTTGTTAACTTAATTAGTTATTAACTAATTAACTTGTTTACTTATTAATTTAACTTATTAATTTATTAACTTATTTCTATCTTTATAATTAACTTATTAACTTACTTCTATCTTTATAAATTTAAAATTAAAAATTGAAATATTTTCAAAAGTAAGAAAAGAGAAGTAAATCGAAAAACACACATCTAATTCGATCATATAATTATTTTGTATAATTTTACACTTCGATAATCGCGGAGGTACGGGAGGCACATCAATTACTTCGTTTGTCCATGTATATGTTGAATGTGGAGCTATATCACTCTTTTCTTTTTTCACAATTAATCGACTGGCTTTCTTTATTTTTTCATTACCAGCGAATGTTTTTGCCCTAAATAACTTTGACCTTTGAACTTTTTAATCATTTTTACATTTGAGGAAAGATTTAACAAATGTAAATTAAATTTTATTTTTTGCTAATGTCTTTTTTATTAATTGCATAAATAGCATATTAATTTATAGGGTTGGGGGAGAATTTAAAAGATTTAATTGCTACATATATA